ACATGCAGCCAACCATTCGGTCGACTTCGTACCCCGTTTGTGCAATGTGTTCCGCTATTTCGGATCTTTTCGTATCCATGTTCCTGCAGAGTGTTTGATGTTCCTTGATTCGTAGGCAGATTTTTTTTCCTGTTTCATCAATAAACTTCGGCTTACAGTTTCCGCATTTGATCTGATAAACCCCCGAGCAATCAAGTTTGTCTGTCTTCTCGTGTTGCGTCGACAGACTTGTCAAAAGTGTTTTTTCTCCTAACTACAGACTGAAAATCGGAATACTGAGGAGTTTGATTATCAGAAGCTTACGACTAACGGACAATGAGTTCTGAAACGAGGAGTTGGACAAATTGACACGGATTTACCTAGGTAACGGATATCCCAGAGCATTTATAGAAAAAATGTAGAGGTTATAAAGGGCCGATTTCAACTTGGATTTTATGAAAATCAGATCAGGAATCAGGGCGACCAGAAGTGAATTTGCCTGCCCTCATCAGAACTGAGCCCACAATTGCGACCGTTACTAAGAAAATAGAATATCAGGGTGATAACAAAGCAGAAGAAAACACTTTTTACCGATCTGCCGACGCAACACGACAAGACAGACAAACTTGATTGCTCGGGAGTTTATTGCATCAAATGCGGGAATTGTGAGCAGAAGTATATTGGTGAAACAGGAAGAAAAATCGGCCTACGAATCAAGGAACATCCGAGACTCTGCAGGAACATGGATACGAAAAGATCCGAAATAGCGGAACACATTACACGAACGGGGCACGAAATCGACTGGAAATCGATCGAATATAATAAAGGATTTCGGACAAATGCCTTAAATAAACTCTAGCCTTCTCAAAACAGCGAAATGGGAGTGCTGCTAAAAGAGAGGCCTAGCGATCTTAGGCTCCCTATCATCAAGAAATGTCATTAATTAGAAAAATAGGGGTGTAAAAAGTAGTAGAAAGACTAGCTTGCTAATAAATTCTTTAACCAGAAGTAAACAAAGTATTTTTTAGCAATCGTGACACTAAAGTTAGATCGTATAGATGAAGATCAATATGATGCAACCTATTATCTTAATTTTTGCTTTAGAGTTATTTTTAAAGATGCTTCGAATCGATGAAAAGAGAACAGAGGATAATACCGACAGAGTATGAAGTTTAGGATTAAAAAAATCGATTGATTCGTCCTAGGAGCCATTCATATGATGATGAATACGATGACTATGACCGAATGAAGACTATCAGTAATAAAAAACAGATTTTCAGGGGACTGAAGAAACAGATAATAGAAATTCACTTAATTCGATCACCATTAAACAAACCCGTTCAGATATGGAAGCCCTGAGAAGAGAGTGAAAAGCCGATAGTGAAGGTGAATACTTGTTACTAAGCCCACTCGAAGGGATGCAAACCTGGAGTATAAGAGTATGGGGAAGAATGAGTAAGTGCTGATAGATAATGCATCAAGATTGGAGGAAGGAGAGATACAATAATAATCCCACATGAAGGGCTAACTTCAAATGCAATCACCCTATTTTATCTAAGGTGATGAAGAAAGAGCAGTTGGATTTTCCAGCAATAATTTGATTATGCCTCATATTTCCATTACATTTCAGTCGTAATCCCCAAAAGGTATTGCCGACGAAGATGAACTGCAGTTTGAACCTCGCCTAGGTCTCATCAGCAGCTCTAGAGGAACTCGAATCCGATTAGTGTAACAGATAGTCTCGAAAAGTTAATAACTACGCAAGACTCCTAAAAATGCCCTTGATTCACGAGGCAAAAGTGAATTTCAAGAAAGCCTAGGCCTTTCTCATATCACACTTCTGTGATGGGAGTGCAGATGAAGCAAGGTTGTATTTGATATAGCAATCTAAAAAGCTATTTGAAATGTAATGGAAACATAAGGCCTATTCATATTAGCGTAGAAAAATTCAACTAAGATTCTCTAAACACCTTAAACGAAATAGAGTAAATATAGCTCTTATATAAGATTTCCTATTAATCTCAAAGATCTCTCTATAAAGGAAAAATGTCCTCAATTATCCCTGAAAAATTGTGGCTCGATGCCAGAGATAGCGCGAATAAACGATGATACCAACTAGGATGTCATTGAAGTGGTTAAAAACGTCTCAGGTTCCATGTGGTAAAAACATAAAAATGAAGTCTCCAATAAAATACAACTTTTAGAAAAACGAAGAGAGAAATCGTAGATATGAGGTATTGGTTTGGGTCTGATCGTAGTCTCCATTAGCTTCAGTGATTGCTTGATCTTGTATTCGAAACTTGTATGAAGCGACAGAGGCCCTGTGGAAGGTACTCAGTTCTGCATCATATGCCAAAAAAGTCATAGTAATCTTCAGCTTCGAACTTTTGACTTGATGCATTCCCAAACGTTTCGTCGGCATCGTCACTGAGAGGCGGCATCCTTAGAACAGAGTTACAACCTATCAAAGTGAAAAATGAAGGCAATCCTCTTGACCAATTTTCTGTCCAAGCGTTGACATCCCTTTCGCTCAAG